TGTTATTAATGACAACACATTGTTCACGATCTTCCAAATATGATTTAAACCAAGACAATGACCGTTCTGAGAAATTAAATGATGAAAGCCTTGAGATCAGTAAATTGTGATTCACCGTATCAAAGGCCTTTTTCAAATCAAGAAAAACTGCACCAGTAATTTGTCCCTTGTCAAGTGATTGTTTAACCTTTTCAAGCAGCAAACCTACAGCGGTCTCTGTGCAATGCTGCCGTCTGAAACCAAACTGAAGATTGTTACTGTCTAAATGCAGTAGTAGTTGTTCCAGAATCATTTTCTCCAGCACTTTTGACATGACCGGAACCAGACTTTTCTTGTTGTTGGTTTCAGAACCAACAACAAGAAACCAGCCGGGTTTTGGTCCTCAGGACCCGACCCAGGAATCCGGGGCATCCCTGGATTCCTGCAGAACCTTCTGGACCTGGGGGACACCTGGGGATAGCAGAACTCACCTGGCAGCGGGCTTCTTGGAGCCCCGCCCAGCGTCGCTCTGAGCGCGCTCAGGAAACAGCTTGGAGGGGGGGCTGGGGGGGACGCGGGTCCTCAGGCAGAAGATGCATTTTCTCTTCTTCATCTCCTTCCCACACAGAAACCTGGAGACAAACGTCTACACGTCTCAGAGTCCAACCCACCAGAGGACACGCGTCTAGAACCAGGCCCAAAACAGGAGATGTCCCGGTTCTGGACACAGGAACACTCAGACCCAGCTGCTTACTTGCTCTTGTATTTGTTGAGGGCGTCCAGCAGGTGCTGCCCCCTTTCTGCTGGAGGACTGTTGGACAGCTGAGGACACAGACAGAGACAGGAGGGGTCAGGGCCGGTCCGTCTGGGTCGGAACCAGGTGTGGCGGTTCCGTTACCTTTCCCAGCTGCAGATGGTCCCAGTTAGTGGAGACGAAGGCCAGAATCTCATCCAGCTCAAAGTATTTCTTCTTGCTGCTGATGGACAGGTTGTAGAGCGCCAAGTGGACGACGTCCACCCAGCGCAGAGACAGGCGGCGCACGTACTCACTTCCTCTGTTACACACGGCGCACAGGAACAGATAGAACCTGGAGAACCAGCAGAACCATCAGAACCAACGGAACCACAGGACGCAGAGGTGCAGGTAGAACCTGGATTAGAACTGCTCTGGGTGAAGGCGGCCATGTTGGATTCATGTTAATGTGTTTTTTATCCATCCATCCATCTTCTTCCTCTTATCCGGGATCGGGTCGTGGGGTCAGCAGCCTCAGTAGGAGGCCCAGACTTCCCTCTCCCAGCCTCCTGCTCCAGCCCCTCCAGGGGAATCCCAAGGCGTTCCCAGCAGTGGAACATCGTCCCTCCAGTGTGTCCTGGGTCTTCCTCTGGGCCTCCTTCCGGTGGGACGTGAACTCCTCACCAGGAGGCATCCTGACCAGACGCCCGAGCCGCCTCTACTGGCTCCTCTCGATGTGAAGGAGCAGCCGCTCTACTCTGACTCCCTCCCAGATGACTGAGCTTCTCTCTCTAAGGGAGAGCCCAGACATGAGAAAACTCATTTTGACTGCTCATTTTGTATCCGTGACCTCGTTCCTTTGGTCATGACCCAGAGCTCGTGATCGTGAGCTTTGGGTAGAAACGTAGATCAACTGGTAAATCGAGAACTTTGCTTTTTGGCTAAGCTCTCTTCACCATGACAGACCGGTTCAGCGCCCGCTTCACTGCAGACGCTGCACCGATCCACCTGTCGATCTCCCGCTCCATTTTTCCCCTCATTTGTGACCAAAATCACAAAATACTTAAAGTCCTGCACGTAGGGTAGGATGTTTTCCCCGACCCGGAGAAGGCACTCTACCCTTTTCTGGCTCTAGACCAGGGGTGGGCAGCTCCAGGCCTGGAGGGCCGGTCTCCTGTAACCTTTAGATGTCTCTACTTCAACACACCTGAGTCAAATAATGAGGTCGTTAGCAGGACTCTGGAGAACCTGACTGCACTGAGGAGGAGATTCAGCTGCTGGATTCAAGTGTGTTGGATCAGGGAGACGTCTAAGAGCTGCAGGACACCGGCCCTCCAGGACCAGGATTGCCCACCCCTGCTCTAGACCATGGCCTCGGTTTCGGAGGCACTGATCCTCATCCCGGCCGCTTCACACCACCACCTCGGTCTGCCAATCCAAGAGAATTGCCCACAGTGTCCATTGCAGAGTCCCCCTGTGAAGGCCATGGACTACATAAGGAAGCCACCCCCGTTGCAATAACTGGAACTGAAACGTAAGCGAAGCCGCAAATGCTAATATGGCACATCTAGGATCAGTAGATCTCAACTCTGAAATATTGTGTCTTAAGTTGCTCAAAAGCTAAATGTGAGCATGTTCGACAATATTACTTTTCTAAACTTTTACGTTTCGTTGAAAGGTGCCTAACACTGTCACTTCCAACCTTGTTACATTATGAAGTCATAATTAGATCTGCTTCACGTAGTATTGTATTTATGTTACGTTGTGGTTATAGAAGCCATACTTATGCTCACCCACAGGAGCCTGAACTTCCACACTCTGAATTGTTCTCCTTTTTGTTGTTTTTCTACACATCCAATTCTCTTTGGGTTGTGTTTGCTGCTGCTTTCTATAGTGGCTAGGGACTTAAACCCACTACTTGCATTATGCTAGCAATGCACACTTGTGTTTTCTGCGTTTTGATCCTTTTGTTCTCCGAGGATCTTATTACATCTAAAAAATGGAACATTTGAATCTTAGTTTTGAAAATATTGTACAGCAAAGCATTAGTATTTTTATTTTATTTCATCGTCTTAGTGTTCAGCATGCTGAAACGTTAGTACATAAAGACAGGGAGGGTAGATTTCTATAGAAGGGATAATTGATGGAACAGCAGTATCCTTTATAAATGTGTATGCTCCTAATAAAGATGCTCCAGGGTTTATTAAGTCAGTTTTCAATATGATTGCAGAGTACAGATCCAGCCTAGTGATTGTTGGGGGGATTTTAATTGCGTAATGTCAAATCTAGATAGGCAACCAGCCTCTCAGACCCCCATATCAAAGATGGGTAAAATACTTACAAATATGCCTGTGGAAGCTGGATTAGTGGA